TTTTTTTTTGTTTCTCAGACAGGGTTTCATTCCATCACCCAGACTGGAGTGCAGTGGTGTGATCTCAGCCTACTGCAACCTTCGCCTCCTGGGTTCAAGTGATTCTTGTGCCTTAGCCTCCTGTATAGCTGCAATTACAAGCGTATGCCACTGCACCCAGCTAATTTTTGTATCTTTAGTAGAGGTGGGGTTTCGACATATTGGCTAGGCTGGTCTCGAACTCCTGGCCTCAAGTGATCTACCCACCTCATCCTCTCAAAGTGCTGGGATTACAGGCATGAGCCATTGCACCTGGCCCTCACTTTTCTCATTTTTGAGAAGATGGCTGCCAAATACCCACATCTGAATAACCACAGTTTGTCAGTGGTTTTACCAAATAAAAACAGTGTTCCACAAAAAAAAAAAAAAAAAAGGCTGAATTTTATTACGTTAAAATAGTTGCACAACCGTTATTCTGCTTAGGAAGCAACTGTATGCATAGGTAGGGGCTCTGGTATGTTGTATTTCTCTTTCCCATTTCACTAAACAACACAAAAAGAATGTGTTATCAATGCTAGAATTGGATAAAATGAACATCGTGTGTTGCTTCTTCAAGGCTTTTTTTTTCTTTTTTTTTTTTTTTTTTTTTTTTTTTTTTGAGACGTAGTCTTCGCTCTGTCGCCAGGGGCAGGAGGTGTGTGGCCGGTCCAGCTCACTGCAAGCCTCCGCCTCCCGGGTTTCCGCCATTTTCTCCTGCCTCAGCCCTCCGGGAGTAAGCGATTCAGGGCGCCGTCCAACTCCGGCACCGGCTTTTAGTTTTTTGTATTTTTTTTTTAGTATGAGACGGGTTGCACCGTGTTAGCAAGGATGGTCTCGATCTCCTCTCGTGATCCGCCCGGTCTTCGGCCTCCCACAGTGCTGGGTTACAGGCTTGGCACCGCCACCGGCCGGACTTTTTTTTTTTTTTGTTTTTCCTTTTTTTTTGAGACGAGTCTCGCCTGTCGGCCAGGCTGGGATTTGGCAGCGGCCGATCTCAGCTTCCTGCAAGCTCGGCTCCCGCTTTTTACGCCATTTCTGCGCTCAGCCTCCTGGGAGTAGCTGGAAACTACAGGCACCCGCCGCTCACCCGGCCAGTTTTTGTGTATTTTTTACTAGGAGACGGGGTATTCACCGTGGTTAGGCCAGGGGAATGTCTCGGATCTCCTGAACCTCATGATCCGCCCATCTTGGGCCTCCAAGTGGCTGGTATTATCAGGCTTGGGAGCCACCCTACGCCGCCTTTTCTTTTCTTTTTTGAGTTTTTGCTCTTGTTGTCCAGGGCTGGAGTGCAATGGGCGAAATCCTGTTGGTGAACTGCCAACTCCCCTCCCATTTTGTTCAGGGATTCTCCCTGCTCTCCACCTGAGGTAGCTAGGGGCTTTTCAGTGCCAAATCCACGCCGGCTAATTTTTTTTTTTTAATTGAGACGGAGTCTTGCTGTCACCTAGGCTGGTGGCAGGATGCATATTGGGTCACCGCAAACCTCTGGGCCTCCTTGGGGTTCAAGCGATTTCTCCTGCCTCAAGCCTTCCCGGAGTAGCTGGGATTACAGGCAACCCGCCACTTCTCCACAGATGGCTCACCCTATTGTTTTTGTATTTGTAGAGACTGGGTTTCACATGTCAGGGGGGCAGGCTGAGGGTCTCGAACTTGTCTCTGACCTCATGTGGACCACCACCTCGGTCTCCCAAGTGCTGGCAGATTCAGGTAGCCACTGCGCCTGCGTATTTTTGATTTTTAGTAGACACAGGGTTTCGCAATGGTTTGGCCAGGTGCGTCCTTGAACTCTTGACCCCAAGTGATCTGCTGGCTCACGAGAGACTCCATCTCAAAAAAAAAAAAAAAGTTTCAACACATGAATATTTGGGGACACAGATCATCATAAGTGTATTTGTTTATACAGTTGATAATGGTCTTTTGTGTTTAAAAAAATTATCAGCAAGTTCTCCCCATTCTGAGAAGGGACTGAGGCTGCGGGGCAGAACCGCACTCCTGGCGGCCGGCACCGCCTAGATCCTGGGGAGGCCGTCGGGCGACCGCTGAGTCCGCGCGCGCCCTCTCCTGGCCGCCAAGAGCATCGGCCAGAATGTCCCCAGGTTCCAGCTCTGACCGGGATGAGGCCCTGCCCAGCGCTCTGTGCAGCCCAAGGAAAACTGCAGAGATTGCATGCACAGGAGAGACCAGCCTTTTGTTTGTCTGTACACCCCTCTCCCTTTTCTCTTTTTCTTTTTTTTCCCAGATGGAGTCTGTCTGTCGCCCAGGCTGGAGTGCAGTGGCGCAATCTCGGCTCACTGCAACCTCTACCTCCTGGGTTCAAGCGATTCTCCTGCCTCAGCCTCCTGAGTAGCCTCCCGATTACTGGTGTGCACCACCACGTCCCGCTAATTTTTTTGTATTTTTAGTAGAGATGGTGTTTCAGCATGTTGGCCAGGCTGTTTTTGAACCCCTGACCTCAAGATCTGCCTGCTTTGGCCTCCCAAAGTGCTGGGATTACATGCGTGGGCCACAGCGCCCGGCCCCTCCCACATTTCTTAATCGAAACACCTCAGCTTTGCCGGGGTGCAGGCTGCTGAAGGCACTCACGCGGTGGGTGGGTTCCTGTTGATCCCTTCAACTTGGTGGTTTCATGGCAATTTGACCGCTTTGGACTTCACAAGTGACAGGGATTTGGCCACATGGATTTTTGAATTATTTATGACAGTGAAACAAATATGAAGTGATGCAAATGTCCATTTAATCATTTAAATGATGAACAATTAAATGAAATGTGGTCTATCCCTGCAATGGAAGTACAATACATGCTACGACGTGCATGAACGTTGAAACATGATGCCAAGTGAGAGAAACCACACACAAAAGGCTACATGAGTTCATTCATGTGAAATGTCTGGAACAGGCAAATTCAGAGACAGAAGGTGGATCAGTGGTTGCCAGGGGCTTGGGGAAGTGACTGCTGCTGGGTACTAGTTTTCTTTTTAGGGATGATGAAAAAATTTTGGAATTAATGATTATCAATGCCCAACCTTGTGAACAGACCAAAGGCATGGAATTGTACACTTTAAAATGGTCAATTTTCTGCCTGGGCTCGGTGGCCCATGCCTGTAATCCCAGTACGTTGAAAGGCTTGAAGTAGGAGGATCACTTGAGATCAGGAGTTCGAGACTATTCTGGGCAACATAGCGAGACCTCATCGCTACTAAAAATAGAGTGGGTGTGGTGGCATGCGCCTGTGGTCCCAGCTACTCAGGAGGCTGAGGCGGGATGATCGCTTGAGCCACAGAGGTCGAGGCTGCAGTGAGCTGAGATCACACCACTGCACTCCAGCCTGGGTGACAGAATGAGACCTTGTCTCAAAATAAAATAAAATGGTCAATTTTATGGCATGTGAATTAAATCTCAATTTAAAAAGAAGAAAGGAATGGTCAAGACAGTGGCAGATCTATTAAAATTGCCCCTCAAAAATGGTTTGAACATCAGTAATTTCACTTTTTCCACATAATTCATCTTAAATACCAGAAAGTAAAACTAAAATGTCTTTTTTGTTTTGAGACGGAGTCTCGCTCTGTCGCCTAGACTGGAGTGCAGTGGTGTGATCTCGGCTCACTGTAACCTCCACCTCCCGGGGTTCAAGTGATTCTCCTGCCTTAGCCTCTCGAGTAGCTGGGATTACTGGCATGTGCCACCACACCTGGCTAATTTTAGTATTTTCAGCAGAGACAGGGTTTCGCCATGTTGGCCAGAATGGTCTCGAACTCCTGACCTCAAATGATCCACCCGCCTCGGCCTCCCAAAGTGCTGGGATTACAAGCATGAGCCACAGCACCTGGCCCTAAAATATCTTTTGCTTCTTGACTCTAGACGTGTATTTTCTGCATATTTTGCTAACCTTTTTACACTAAAAGTACTACTTGTTTAAACTGCATGTCAATTATTAAGCTAATTGTTACATTGTTGAAAACATTCACTGGTGTATTTTATATTGATACTTTCCTCATTCTGTGGCTCCATTGTCTTTTTTCACTCAGATGTTTTAAGTGTTGAAAAAGTCCTGGCCTTTATAGGTGAGGAAGGAATGTTTATTTCAGTGGATGTCAGCTCAGAATCAAATTACCAAGGCGCAAAGCCCAGGCACACTCATTCCTAAAGTCTTTGGTTTCAATCATGGGATAAATATAGTTTGAACCTAACCTTCCTTTCGCTTCCCCTTCCCTTCCTTCCTTCCTTCTTTTTTATTGAGATAGGGTCTTGCTCTGTCACCCAGGCTGGAGTGCACTGGCACCATTATGGCCCACTGCAGCCTCAACCTCCCAGGCTCAAGCAGTCCTCCCACCTCAGTCTCTGGAGTAGCTGGGACTACAGGTATGCACCAGCATTCCTGGCTAATTTTTAAGTTTTCTGTAGAGATGGGGTCTCCCTATATTGCCCAGGCTGGTCTCAAACTCCTGAGCTCAAGCGATCCTCCTGCCTTGGCCTCCCAAAGTGCAGAAATTACAGGTGTGAGCCACCGCGCCTGGCCATGTTTCTTCTCCTTTTCAGGCTTTCAGATGATTGCTGCTGGAGAGTCAAGTGTTCTAGAAAGTCAGGCAGCCCTGGCTGCTGGGGCAGAGCCTGGAGGTGAGTTAGCAGCCATCTCTCCTTGGAGGTGATCTGGTTCCTCCTTTACCCACCAGTCCCTGTGAGCCCTGCCATGTGTGTGGACTGGCCACTGGGCAGACGGCAGCAGGCAAGGGAAGGGGCTTGGACATCAAGACACCAGTTTAATGTCCACTGTTACGACTGGATGGGAGGGAAGGCAAAGGAACAAGGAGGGCCATCATCTGGAAAAGACCAAATCTATAAACGGGCAGCAGTTAGACCACCGTATTTTTTTTTTCTTCTAAGACACAGTCTTCCAACCTGGGCAACATGGTGAAACTGTGTCTCCACTAAAAATACAAAAAATTAGCCAGGCGTAGTGGCACACACCTGTAGTCGCAGTAACTCAGGAGTCTGAGGTGGACGGATCACCTGAGCCCAGGACGTTGGGGCTGCAGCGAGCCTTGATAGCACCACTGCACACCGGCCTCGGTGAAGGGAGTGAGACTCTGTCTAAAAAACAAAAGAGAGAGAGAGAGAGACAGTCTCACTATGTTAGCCAGGCTGGTCTCAAACTCCTGGGCTCAAGTGGTCCTTCCCTATTAACCTCCCAAAATGGATTCAGGCGTGAGGCACCATGCCTGGCCTGCAAGAGAATTCTGACTCAATCTCTGGGACAATCAGCCTAGGCAGCCGAACCCCAGCCTCTGCAGTTACTGGCTCAGAACAGTTGGGAAGTCAGGAGTGGGTGGATGACTGCGGTGTCCCTATTTTTCTTTTCTTTTTTGGAACGAAGTTTCATTCTTGTTGCCCAGTCTGGAGTGCAATGGCACGATCTCGGTTCACTGCAACCTCTGCCTCCTGGGTTCAAGTGATTCTCCTGCCTCAGCCTCCTAAGTAGCTGGGATTACAGGCGCCCGCCACCACACCTGGCTAATTTTTGTATATTTAGTGGAGACGGGGTTTCACCATGTTGACCAGGCTGGTCTTGAACTTCTGACCTCAGGTGATTCACCCTCCCTGGCCTCCCAAAGTGCTGGGATTACAGGCGTGAGGCACCATGCTCGACTTTTGCTTTTCTTCCCTTTTTTTTTTTTTTTTTTGAGACAGAGTCTAGCTCTGTTGCCAGGCTGTGGCTCGATCTCAGCTCACTGCAACCTCCGCCTCCCAGGTTCAAGCGATTCTCCTGTTTCAGCCTCTCAAGTAGCTGGGACTACAGGCACACACCACCATGTCCAGCTAATTTTTGTATTTTTGGTAGAGACTAGGTTTCACCATGTTGGCCAGGATAGTCTCTATCTCCTGACTTCGTGATCTGCCCACCTCCAACTCCTAAAGTCCTAGGATTACAGGTGTGAGCCACCGCACCTGGCCTTTTTCTTTTTTTTTTTTAAATGAGATGGGATCTCATTCTGTCACCGAGGTTGGAGTGTGGCACCATCTCAGCTCTCTGCAGCCTCTGCCTCCCTGGGCTCAAGTGATCCTCCTACCTCAGCCTCCCAAGTAGCTGGGACCATAGGCATGCACCACCATGCCCGGCTAAGTTTTTGTATTTTTTGTAGAGATGGGGTTTCACCATGTTGCCCAGGCTGGTCTCAAACTCCTCAGCTCAAGCAATCTACCCTGCTAGGCTTTCCAAACTGCTGGAATTACAGGTGTGAGCCACCGTGCCCAGCTAGCTTCCCTATTTTTCTCTCCACTTCCAACTTGAGACCAACCAGAGAAAGCCAAATGTGTTCCCCAAACCAATCACATAGGGAACCCTGCTTCTAGGGAGCTGTGGCCTCAGGATATAACTAAGCCCTCCCTTTTTTCCTCTGTGAAGTTTCTTTCTTCTCTGCCTGCCTTTGAGTTCTGCAGAATTCAAGTACTGGTGCTATACTTATTGCTATAGCAATAAGCACAAGTTGCTGTAGCAAGCCCTGAATAAACAGCCTCTGCTTGTCCTCATTTGAGTGGCCTGTGTATTTATACTCCCAGGAGACAGGGCAGTTACTCATCCCGAGGTGCTTTCCAGAGAGGAGGGACAAAACTGGAATCTAAAAGGTTAGTGCAGCTGGGTGCGGTGGCTCATGCTTGAAATCCTAGCCCTTTGGGAGGCTGTGATAGGCGGATCACCTGAGGTCTAGAGTTTGACACCAGCCATGGCCAACATGGTAAAACCCTGTCTCTGCTAAAAATACAAAAATGAGCTGGGCATGGTGGTGGGCGCCTGTAATTCCAGCTACTTGGGAGGCTGAGACAGGAGAATCGCTTGAACCTGGGAGGCAGGGGCTGCAGTGAGCTGAGATCATGCCATTGCACTCCAGCCTGGGTGACAGAGTGAGACTCTGTCTTTAAATAAATAAATAAATAAATAAATAAATAAATAAATAAATAAAGGGTTAGTGCAAGTGGGCCTGGTGATGGGGGCCAGAGTGGGGCAGTGGCGAGCTGGGTAGAGAGAACAGAACCTGGAGAGAGCTCAGGAGGTCTGGGGCTGGATGTCACTGGCCTGGAAGGCCTTGCTGGATTCGCTGTGTCTATCCCCAAAAAGAGAACAGATTTTATCCTGGGGCTAGAGCCACTGGTGGTCGTTAGAACTGAAGTCGCCTCTTTAGATCTTCAGACAGAAGAGTGGAAAATGAAGGTAGGTAGTGAAGGCTGGAAAAGAGGTCCCAGTGAGGGTGGTGGCCCTGTCCCGGCTGAGGGGGACAGAGTGTGAGGAGGGTAGGATGCTGTGTCAGAGCCAGAGCAAGAGCGTTTGGAGAGTTCAGGGCGAAGCCAAATTGGAGTGGGGGCCGGGCATGGTGGCTTACACCTGTAATCCCACCACTTTGGGAGGTCGAAGCAGGTGGATCACTTGAGGTCAAGAGTTCGAGACCAGCTTGGCCAACACGGCAAAACCCCGTCTCTACTAAAAATACAAAAATTAGCTGGGTGTGGTGGCAGGTTCCTGTAATCTCACCTACTTGGGAGGCTGAGGCATGAGATTTGCTTGAATCCGGGAAGTGGAGGTTGCAGTGAGCTGAGATTGTGCCACTCCAAGCTGGGTGACAGAACAAGTCTGTTGCAAAAAAACAAACAAACAACAACAACAAAAAAAGTGGAGTGGAGACCAGGGGGATAATGGCGCCCTTTCAGCGCTGTCTTAGTCCACCCTTACATTACTATAAAGGAACACCTGAGGCTGGGTAATTCATAAAGAGATTTACCTTGGCTCACGGTTCTGCAGCTGTACAGGAAACATGGTGCTGGCATCTGTTCCTGGTGAGACCTGAGGAAGCTTCCAATCATGGTGGGAGGCAAAGGGGGAGCCGGCCTCTCACACGCCAAAAGCAGGAACAAGAGAGAGAGAGGAGAGTGCTGTTTTATTTATTTATTTTTATTTATTTATTTTTGAGACAGAGTCTTACTCTGTCACCCAGGCTGGAGTGCAGTGGCATGATCTTGGCTTGCTGCAACCTCTGCCTCCCAGGTTCAAGCGATTATCCTGCCTCAGCCTCCTGAGTAGCTGGGATTACAGGCACCTGCCACCACACACAGCTAATTTTTGTATTTTTAGCAGAGACAGGCTTTCACCATGTTGGCCAGGCTGGTCTCGAACTCCTGACCTCAGGTGATCTACCCACCTCAGCCTCCCATAGTGCTGATATTTCAGGCATGAGCCACTGTGCCCGGCCCATACTCTTTTAAACAACCAGATCTCACATGAACTCGGAGCGATAACTCACTCGTTACCGCAAGGAGGACACCAAGCCTGCTATTCATGAGGGATCCTCCCCGATGACCCAAACACCTCCCACCAGCCCCCCACCTCCAACACTGGGGATCTCATTTCAGTAAGAGATTTGGAGGGGAGGGACATCCAAACCATATCAACAGGCAAGGGGAGCTCGGCTGTGCAGTGGGGTCGGGGCAGTGAGCTCATGCTTGAAACCCGGGTTGGACGGCTGTCTGGGATGTCGAAGTTGAGACTCCTAGGGCAGAAGGGCAAGTGGGTATGAGGGTAAAGGTAGTCTGGGCTGGCGATGGAGCTGTGGTCATGTTGGAGCTGATGGGTCCCCAGGGAAGCAGGAGGGTTAGGTCCTGTGGCCTGCCCCCATTTATGAGATGGAGGTGTTAACCTAAATAACAAACAGAGAGAGGCTCCCTAAAAGAAAAGATATTTGGGAACAGACCATTGCAATCGGAATTCACTTGTCATGGTAAGCTACGTGCATACTCAGGAAGGTAAGGAAGGCATAGGCTTTTTTTTTTTTTTTTTGAGACGGAGTTTCGTTCTTGTCACCCAGGCTGGAGTACAATGGTGTGATCTCCGCTCATTGCAACCTCCACCTCCCACGTTCAAGCAAATCTCCTGCCTCAGCCTCCCGAGTAGCTAGGATTACAAGCCTGCACCACCATACCCGGCTAATTTTTCTTTTTTTTTTAATATGGAGTCTTGCTCTGTCACCCAGGCTGGGGTGCAGTGGCACGAGTCGTTGGCTCAGCTGCAACTTCTGCCCCCCAGGTTCAAGTGGATTCTCCTGCCTTCAGCCTCCTGAGTAGCTGGATACAGGTCGCTGTTTAATTTTTTTTTTTTTTTGAGACAGCCTCGCTCTGCGCCCCACCCCGGATGCAGTGGCGGACTCACTCACTGCAAGCTCCGCCTCCCTTTTACCATTCTCCTGCTCAGCCTCCCGAGTAGCGGGGACTACAGGCGCCCACCACCTCGCCCGGCTAGTTTTTTGTGTTTTTTAGTAGAGACGGGGTTTCACCGTGTTAGCCAGGATGGTCTCGATCTCCTGACCTCTTGATCCGCCCGTCTCAGCCTCCCAAAGTGCTGGGATTACAGGTTTGAGCCACCGCGCCCGGCCAATTTTTGTACTTTTAGTAGGGACGAGGTTTCACAATCTTGGCTAGGTTGGTCTTGAACTCCTGACCTCATGATCCACCTGCCTCAGCCTCCCAAAGTGCTGGGATTACAGGCGTGAGCCATGGCGCCCGGCCGGCATATGGTTTTAAAGGAAAAAAGGAGGATTAGATAATTGTTTGGAATAATTATCTCTGGCTACAAAGGTCAATAACAAGGGTGTTGCCAGTCCAAGGTTGGACAGGCAGTTGCTGGGCAGACGTCCTTGTGGAAGTATTCCTGTGTAAGGTTGTGATGCCCATTTGTGATGGTTCTTGTTATCAGGCGTACAAACACTCTTCATGGCCTACCTGGCTCTATTTCCCAGGGTTTTCTTAACATTAGTGACTCCATTTTGATTCTGACAATTTTCACAGGAGGGAGAAGAGAGGTCCACAGAGTTGGAGAAGATAGGGCCAGAGAGTGAGGCACAATGCTAGAGCAGAAGGCTCCAGAAGCCAAGTCCTGTTCTGTTTCTTGGTCCACAGGGTGACTGTTGACTCAAAGCATCAGAAATTGAAGCCAAGGCTGGGCGCGGTGGCTCATGCCTATAATCCCAGCACTTTGGGAGGCCAAGGCGGGTGGATTACCTGACATCAGGAGTTCAAGACAAGCCTGGGCAACATGGTGAAACCCCAAGACCAGCCTGGCCAAGATGGTGAAATCCCACCTCTACTAAAAAATACAAAAATTAGCCAGGTGTGGTGGTGGGTGCCTGTAATTCTAGCTACTGGAGAGGCTGAGGCAGGAGAATTGCAGTGAGCCAAGATTGTACCACTGCACTCCAGCCTGTCGACAGAGTGAGACTCTGTCAAAGAGAGAGAGAGAGAGAGAGCGAGAGAGAAAGAGAGAGAGAGAGAGAGAAATTAATACAAGAAATGCTGAAATGTCCTGATCATGCTCTGATTTTTCAGATGGAGTCAACGTTGCTTAATACTAAAAAAATGTGTTTAAAACATATAGCCTTGTTTAGAAAAATCTCACTGTGAGGCCATTCGACTGGGGTGGCTCTGGCACTTTAAATTGCTTCATGAACAAACCAAAGCCCAATATAAACAGTAAGTTGAAACGAGAAACTGCTCTAGTCAACCTCTAACTAAGAAATACTCACTTCAGCCAATCATATTGCTCTGTTTTGCTTCTGTAAATACTTAATACAAGTGTTCCTTCTTTGCCCTCCCAGGGGAGTGCTAGCCACTTAAGTTATGGTGCTACCCTGAGCTATAAATCACTGAGAGGTCAAAGAAACTTTTTTTTTTTTTTTTAGTTGCTCAGGCTGGTGTGCAGTGGTACAATTTGAGCTCACTGCAACCTCTCCTACAGGTCAGCAATTCACTCCTGCCTCAGCCATCTGTCCGAGTAGTCTGATGGCTAGTGCGAGTGGCACGCAACTGCGCCCAGGACTAATTTTACAATTTTTTTGGTGAGACAAGGGTCCTCCACCCATCGAATAAACTCTTGGAAAACATATGTGCCTAAAGTCTGTCTGTCTTTTCTTTCTCTTTTCTTTCTTTTTTTTTTTTTAATGCAGTTTTGCTCATGTCACAAGCCTGGAGTACAGTGGTGTGATCCTGGCTCACTGTAACCTCTGCCTCCTGGGTTCAAGCAATTTTCCTGCCTCAGACTCCTGAGCAGCTGGGACTACAGGCACACAGCACCACCCCTGGTTAATTTTTTGTATTTTTAGTAGAGATGGGGTTTCATCATACTGGCCAGGATGGTCTTGATATCTTGACCTTGTGATCTGCCCACCTCGGCCTCCCAAAGTGCTGGGATTACAGGCATCAGCCGCCACTCCTGGCCTCTTTCTTTCTTTTTAGAGATAGAGTCTTACTACATTACTAAGGCTAAATTCAAATTCCTGAGCTCAAATGATCCTCTTGCCTCTGCCTCCTGAATAGCTGAGAGTACAGGTGAGCACCACTGTGCCTGCCAAGGTTTTCTTTTATCAGGTCGGGTGTCAGAAGTGGGAGCCACGGGAGTGCACCCAATACTGGCCTCCAGGAGCAATGAGCAAACAAATGCAGATACCTCACTGAGCCCTTTGTGTTCACTGCTTCTCACGATGCATTTGGAGGCCATCCCGGGAAAGCCCACTTGGATACATGAACTTCATAATTTGTGTTGATATCTCTGAGTTTATTTAAACATTTTAAAACCTGGACTGGGTTTGAAAATCATGACATAAACGAGACTCTGTCCTGTAGAAAGATTTCTTGTTTCTGACTGAGGCGTACAGAAACTTAACTAGGTTTAGTTAAAGACCTTTGGTTAAAAAGTTTCCAGGAGGCTAGGGACGTGGTAGCTCATACCTGTAATCCCAGCACTTTGGGAGGCCAAGGTGGGCAGATCACTTAAAGTCAGGAGTTTGAGACCAGCCTGGCCAACATGGTGAAACCCCATCTCTATTAAAAATACAAAATTTGTCAGGTGTGGTGGTGCATGCCTGTACCCCCAGCTACTTGGGAGGCTGAGGCATGAGAATCATTTGGACCTGGGAGGCGGAGCTTGCAGTGAGCAGAGATTGTGCCACTGCACTCCAGCCTGGGTGACAGAGCGAGACATTGTCTCAAAAAAAAAAGTTTCCAGGAGGACAGAAAATAATGGTTTATTGAAATTCAGATCAGCTTGGGCAGCATGGTGAAACCCTGTCTCTAAAAAAATACAGAAAAAGGCTGGGTGCATTGGCTCACGCCTGTAATCCCAGAACTTTGAAAGACCACAAGGCTGAGGGGGGCATATCACCTGAGGCCAGGACTTTGAGACCAGCCTGGCCAACATGGTGAAAACCTGTCTACTAAAAATACAAAAATTAGCCAGACGTGGTGGTGGGCGCCTGTAATCCTAACTACTCTGGAGGCTTAGGCAGAGAATTGCTTGAACCTGGGAGGCAGAGGTTTCAGTGAGCCGAGATCGCACCATTGCGCTCCAGCCTGGGCGACGAGTGAAACTCTGTTTCAAAAAACAAAAACAAAAACAAAACAGAAAAAGGGGCTGGGCGCAGTGGCTCACGCTTATAATCCCAGCACTTTGGGAGGCCGAGGCGGGCAGATCACCTGAGGTCAGGAGTTCGAGACCAGCCTGACCAACATCGTGAAACCCCATCTCTACTATTAGCCAGGCGTGGTGGCGCATGCCTCTAATCCTAGCTACTTGGAAGTCTGAGGCAGGAGAATCTCTTGAACTTGGGAGGCTGACGTTGCAGTGAGCCAAGGTCGCGCCATTGCACGCCAGCCTGGATGATGAGTGAAACTGTCTCAAAAAAAAAAAAAAAAAATGCAGAAAAAGAGGCCCGGCGCAGTGGCTCATGCCTGTAATCCCAGCACTTTGGGAGGCTGAGGCAGGCAGATCACTTGAGGATAGGGGGTTCAAGAGCAGCCTGACCAACATGGTGAAACCCCATCTCTACTAAAAATACAAAATTAGGTGGGTGTGGTGGCACTTGCCTGTAATCCTAGTTACTTGGGAGGCTGAGGCAGGAGAATTGCTTGAACCCGGGAGGCGGAGGT